ATGGGATAGATGGGATGGGATGGGGAGGGAGTGGGATTGGGGTGGGAGGGTGGGGAGGAAGGGATGGGATGGGATCGATGGGATGGGATGGGAGTGGGATTGGGGTGGGAGGGTGGGAGGTGGGGAGGAAGGGATGGGATAGATGGGATGGGATGGGGAGGGAGTGGGATTGGGGTGGGATGGTGGGAGGGCGAGGAGGAAGGGATAGGATGGATGGGATGGTTGGGGTGGGGAGAGTTGGATGGGATCAGGTTGAACAACGGAAACAAGGATGGGATGGGAAGGGAAGGGATGGGATGGTTGGGGTGGGAAGAGTTGGAGGGAATCAGATTGAACAATAGAAACAAGGATGGGATGGGTGGGATGGGAAGGAGTGAGCGGAATGGAATGGGATGGGGATGGGATAGAAAGAGATGGAGAGGAGGATGGGATGGATGAGGTGGGATGAGACGGGAGAAGATGGTTGGGGTGGGGAGAGCTGAGTGAGATTGGGATGGAGACGGGAAGAAGGATGGGATGGGATGGGACGGGATGGGACAAGATGGGGATGGAATGAGATGGGATGGGGTGGGATGTGCTCCGGGTGGGACCCACGGCCCCGTCCCTGCTCCCGCAGGTCGTGATCGTCATCAACGCGTCGGCGCCGCCGCAGTCGCTGCAGAACGAGCTCAAACCTGAGGAGATCGAGCAGCTCAAGGTGGGGGGGGGCTCAGGGGGGGGGTCGGGGGGTCCTGGGGGGCTCAGGGTGGGGGTCTCACCCCTTTCTCCCCCCCAGCTCTGCATGAGCAAGAGATACGACGGGTCCCAGCAGGCGCTGGACCTCAAGAGCCTCCGCGTCGACCCGGGTGAGTCTGGGGGGCTGGGGGGGCTTTGGGGGTCCTGAGGGGGCTGCAGGGGCCGGGCCTGACCCTCCCTGACCCCCCCTGCCCCCTTCTGCCCCCAGACCTGGTGGCCCAGAGCATCGACGTGGTGCTGAACCAGCGCAGCTGCATGGGCGTGGTGCTGCGCATCATCGAGGAGAACATCCCCGAGGTGAGGGATGGGAGACCCTGAGACCCTGCTGGGACCCCCAAATGTGTACTGGGACCCCTGAGACCCTGCTGGGACCCCCAAATGTGTGCTGGGACCCCCAAATGTGTGCTGGGACTTCTGAGACCCTGCTGGGACCCCCAAATGTGTGCTGAGACTCCTGGCACTTTGTTGGGACCCCCAACTGTGTGCTGGGAGCCCCTGAGACCCTGCTGGGACCCCAAACCCCTTTGGGTGCCCCCAAACCCCTGCTGGTCCCCCCCAGTCCCTTCTTGTCCTCCCCAATCCCCTTTTTACCCCCCCCAACCCCATATTCTGCACCCCAGACCCCCATTTCCCCCCTGTAACCCCCCAATTTTCCCCCCCAGCTGCAGTCCCTGACCCTGGGCAGTAACAAGGTGCCCCCAGACCCCCATTTCCCCCCTGTAACCCCCCAATTTCCCCCCCAGCTGCAGTCCCTGAACCTGGGCAGTAACAAGGTGCCCCTAGACCCCCATTTACTCCTCTAAACCCCCATTTCCCC